ATTAACCAAACTGGAAGAATCTCGTTTAATCTGGACAGACAGTCTCAAAACTTATAAGAGGGGCCTCCGCAATGCCAGAGCAAACTATTACTCAGCATTAATAGAAGACAATAAGAACAACCCCAGGTTTCTTTTCAGCACTGTAGCCAGGCTGACTGAGAGTCAAAGCTCTATTGAGCCTTGTATTCCTTTAGCCCTTAGCAGTAATGATTTTATGAGCTTTTGAGGGTTTTTGGGGAGTTTTTCCTGATCAGCTGTGAGGGTCATAATGACAGAGGGATGTCGTATGCTGTAAAGCCCTGTGAGGCAAATTGTGATTTGTGATATTGGGCTTTATAAGTAAAATTGAATTGACATTCTGCCACCTGACGTTCTGCTGCCTGACGTTCTGATGCTCCCTCAGTGCCGTCCTAAAGAACTGAAAGTTTGAACCAGAGTTCGCTCGGAGCGAATGTTTCTGAACGCACCCTGAACAGTAGGAGGTTGTTTCTGGCTGTTTTATTGGACCTGATTTCTGATTGGACGTTCTACTCTGGAGCCTTGTCTGACGGGAAGCCGTCCATTATTTTGAATCTTTGGAGTTTTTAATGTACAGACTGAAAATGAGACAGGAAACAAACTAACATTGGATCATGTGGCGCCACCACAGGAACAAACTGTCCATAAATCAAGGACAGTTTGTCCAAACATCAACACACTCAGAGGACATTTAGGATGAAAATGTTGGAGTGTGACCACAACCTGTTTCTGCAAGTGACCAACAGGAAGTGATGGTGTTGTTTAAGAAGGGTGTGGCCTGGCACAGATTCCGACAGACATGAATGAGCATCTGTGTGATGTCATAAAACTGTCTGTTCTCTTTACAGTCGCTATTAGAACCTGTTCCAGGTTGCTTAACATTGTCTTGAACCTGAGACTATCTTTTCTTTCCTCTGTTTGTTTTTAACTCTTGATATTCTGACTCTTCAGAGGCTTTTAATGTGAAACAGCTGAAAGGAAGTGAGGACATTCCCTGACAGAAGTTTCACAGTTTACAGTTCTCTGGTTCTCCGCAGGTGAGACAGCCAGAGTTCTTACAGTGCGTCACTGTCAGGCTAAGTTATGCTAAGCTAAGCTAAGAGTAGCATGAGACAGAGTGTGTGTGTTTGTACCGTCTGAACTCCAGATAAGTCTTTCTTCAGTCCGGTCAGCGTCTGATACAGAACCTGGAGAACACAAACAACAGCTGTTACATTCTTTAAATCAATCAGACGTTCCTCAGACAATGTCACCTTCTAGAACTTCACTCCGTCAAGACATCAGAGACTCAAGAAATCCCAAAACACTCCTCTGAGAACCTCTTCTTATCTGTCTCTGCATCACTCCCCTTCTCATGGATCATTTATTCTGTTCTTGTTCTCTGTCAGGTTCCTCTGAAAACCTAGAAAAATCCCTGTATAGATCCACTGTATCATCAGAACTCTAAACTGTCTTATAATCTGAGGTTCTTTCATCAGGAATCAGCTGTCTGATTAATGTCTCCAACTTCTTCATCAACGTTTCATGACTTGATCCTTTGGTTCTTCGGCCTGTAAATGGCATCAGACGGTTTCTGAATCGGTTCAAAGATCATATGAAAACAAAAATATTCACATCAGGTTTTTTGGGTCACTGAGCCACAGAGTCACCAGGGTTCTGATAATGTTCTGGTAATGTTGTGATAATGTTCTGTACGTCATCAATGAACACAGAGGTTCCTCACAGCGGTAAACAAACATACACTCATTAACATATGGTTCCACAAATGTGCACTAGATGACCCGTTCCTGAAGGTTAAGGAACCGCCATCTTGACTCCAGCACAGGGAACAGTACCGTCTGAAGCCATGCCCACTGACTGCTGTGACTCTTACGTTGTCGTCGTGTCCGCAGATGGCAGACTCCTCCTCCTTGGTCCTCATCAGGTCCACGTCTCGCTCGTAGTGACTCACCTCGGTCAGCGTGCGGGGGATGTACGCCTTCTTAAACACCTGAGGGAGAAGTCAGACAGGTGAGGCATCACCGTAAATGTGCCAACATGACGGTGTTTGTGTTTCCTTCCTGTCACCTCCTCGTCCACTCTGTCCTGATCTGATCGCTGCTCCGACGTCCGATCGGCTGCGATCACCATGGCCTGGACGATCAATCACAAACTGATTAGTGATAGTTGTATCTTTGTGTTTTATAAATAAAGTTTTACTGAATGTGGAAGTGGTCAGACCTTCTCCAGGTACTGGTCCATGTTGTGGCAGGTGATCGATGGGTCGGTGATGAAGTTAAACAACTCTCTGACCGTCATCACCGCCACACCGCGCTTCACAAAGTACTCTGTGAAAAGAACACACACACTGATCAGCTGACAGGTTCGGACCTGATAATCAATCATCCATACTCAGGATCACCAGTTTCACCGTTCACGTTGCTGCAGTCCTTCCTGAGGAACTCCAGAGCATGCGGATGGTCGTGTTCCACTGACTGTGACACGTCGATGATGTAAGCGTCTCCATCGTGATACCTACACACGGGTTAGTCAGTTCCACAGGGCTTTTATTTTGAAGGGGTGGAGGGTGTGGTGGGTGTGGTCTCTTACAACATGTTGAACTCGCTGAGGTCGGCGTGGACGAGTCGAGCTTCCTGGAACATCTTCCTCATGTTCTGTAGAACCTGCAGGTAGAGCTCCCGAGCCTTCGACTCCGACAAGGAGACATTCTTCAACAGAGGAGCCGGCCTGAGGAATAATCCATACACAGAGTGATCAATACACACAGAGATCAATACACAGAGTGATCAATACACAGGGATCAATACACACAGGAATCAATACACAGAGTGATCAATACACACAGAAATCAATACACAGAGTGATCAATATACAGAGTGATCAATACACACAGGGATCAATACACAGAGTGATCAATACACACAGGAATCTGTGACTGGTTTTGATCAAATATTCTGATTGGTTCTTACATGTTATCTTTCCCGATGAAGCTCATCAGCAGAACATGACTTCTGAGCAGGAGAGGTTCTGGACTTGGGATTCCTGCCATCTGC